AAGTAACAAAACATCATTAGCTGATCCAGATAAAATTGATATTCTTGTTTTTTTCCAAAATATATGGTGCAATCGAAATGACAAAATATCATGACATCTCCTAGGGTAGAAATTAAAAACAACAAAGAAGAACCCACAAAAGAAATCATTAGTTAATTATGAAATATTCTTAGCTAGACAGCACCATGGTGAACAAAAACTGTCGCGCATAAATTTATATTACTATTGTACCTTATACTTACTAATGCAGTTACGCTTGACCTTCGAAATTATTATTGAACGACCACCAACCACTGGATGGCTAAGGAATAGCTATCATGTATCTATGGCCGCGCTTCTCATGGACAGCAAAGGGTCATATAAGAACACTATTGATTAAGAAAATACACCACCTCAAGCACGACAGCCTAGATTGAAAATGTCATTGAAATGTAGCATAAAACATTTGAACATGTTTTGTCAACCCACAATTGTTAACGAAAAAACAAAGAACCAAGACTTGACTATCCTAAATTGAGTAAACATAACAGGATGACCAATAAAATTGTCACATGCAGCCCAATTTCAGTTACATAAAACACACGACAGCATCAGTGTAAACCTCCTTTCTAAGTACTGATCTATCTTATGAACTTGCTTTCGTGGTTAAACATGTTGCGTCTGAGTGCAAGTTCCATCATCTTCAACTTGCATGATGTATGATTTTTTCTTGTTACTTATCCAAAACCATGCATCAACACAGTTTGTTTCCTTCATCCGGTTGCCGCCAGTAAAAGTTTCAGTGGCTATAAGATTGAGATATATCTTCATCTTTTGTAACCACAATTATATTTTACACAACTGGAACAAAATATAGGAATATCATTAGACCAGCTATTAACACTTGCAATTTCTTCCCATGTGCACAACTCATTTATTCTGTGTCTACACTTTGCTAAAGATATCTTATACCATAGTTAAAATCAGCCTGATCAAATAAATGGTTGAGATTTTACTATGGGAGTTATCTTAGCTTGGGTGATTAGTAGATGATAGTTGACAATGGAAAAGGTGTAGCAAGTTTAATATTGAATGCAACCAAAAAACTGAATGGACTCACATAACAAACTAACTTTGATTAGAAGTTTTCTTCATGACCATCAATAATTTTATTCACTGAAATAGTTTTGTCTCTCGGGTAAACTACAGTGGTCGAGCATCTCCAGTGAAATAGTTTTATTTCTTGTATCTCACTGAATCATGTTGGACCAATCATGGGAGATATGCTAGTTAACATAAAAGAAAAGGTACCACCAAGATACTGAAGCATTGCTACTTTTCCACCACATACTAAAAGGACGGAATAATCGAGTATAAATATATATACCGTCACCAATGAATATTTGACATTTTTACCGGCCACAGCATGTATATTATGTTGCCATCTTTGTATATACACACCTTAAACATTATGTGTGCATTTGTAAAATATGGTATTCGATGGACTTGACTACCACATTAATTACAAAAAGACTAAGTTTCCCTCTCTAAGTAATTAGCATGGTACCAGTTGCATACATAAAGACCAAGCTTAAATTAAATAGGAGTGACATGCTTGATTATGAAGTGAACTGTATATTGCTGAATGCACCGAGTAGTGGGCTGACCTAGGGACAGTAAATGAATTGAAGTTGTCATGAAACTAAGAACTTTTTTTATCATTGATTCATGCGAGAGACAGTACATAGATATGCTAATTAAGGTGGGACACATAAAAAGGGAAGCATTGTAGATTTTCCATCACTACATACATCATGAATTAATTCTCGACGCATCCCATCCACCATTTTATTGTGTCATCTTTTCCGCAGATCGAGAGGGTGAGTATTATCTTTCCATGTTAGTGTGTGCAACTCGGAAACATGCATATGTACGCACCTATAGCCAGGACGTTATTTCTAGCTGACCAAACTACCAGAAGAATCACTAAGGACTATGATGTCCTTTCTAATAAGCAATCTGGTTACTACTACTGGTTGCATGAGTGACCAAGCTTAATTTTAAAAGAGAAACATTTTTTGGACCAGTAAAAACAGCAGGAGAGGCTCCTACTGTTATATATTAAATTATAAACAAAAGGAGAAACATTATTAACAACAATGTGAACTGTACATAGCTATGTATGCAAAGTGGATAGGACGGTTGTGGTGCCCTATTTATATACCATCATGGTTTGGAATTTCGTCTAACACACTAAAGGTGTAAACACCAACAGCAACACAACAACTGTTCAGGGAGAGGAAGATTCAAGATTGCTTTAGAAATTGAACGATGCTGCTGACAGCTTACTTTTTACATCTTGCCATGGGATGTTGTGAGAAGAAGCGGCGTCCAGCGAGCATTGTGATCATCTACCATGGGAGAGTGGCCATGACAACTGGGTATGGGGGCAGCATTGATCTGGTCAGGAATTGAGTCTGTCGTTCCCTGTCCGGCAACAATGACGGGTGATGCGAGCAACGGTGCAAGAAGAGACATCCAGCAGAGGGTTCACGGCACATCATGTTTCCGTCCAACGGCAAGAGAGGCCGCAAGATCAATTGGATTCTTTGCTTAAAAGCTCCATCCTTTCCACGACTACAGGAAATCAAATGCTATAACCAAGAAGCCTTAAGATATAAAGCCCACAATTCTGCTCCAGCATCCCATCCTCTTCTAGTAAAAAAAAAATCAATCTAAAATTACGGCATGGAAATCTCTACTTTCTCTCTTCCTCCTCCATGGAAAACAAATCGATTTCTCTCTCAAGCTAGAAAACAAATTCATGCCGCCACCATCAGTTTTCCTTCTCTTTTGCTCAATTCATTCCAAGCATATGCAAGCCTGATCGTCACCTTCATTCACGTTGCCGGTAGGCAGCAACATATCTCCTATTGGAGCATCTATCCATGTTGTTGCTAGCATGACCTACCGAAGAATGAAGGCTTTGTCCATGATGCTTCCTCGCTGCGTACGTACCAAATCTATGACATCGTTGTCTCCATGCCTGCTGAAGGCCACCGGCCGCGTGATGGCGATGGGAGGACAACGCCCCTGCACCTCTGATCGGTGATCCCCGCTGATCGAGGATCTCCACCACACAACGCGCTCGGGTTGATCTACAAGCATGGCATCGCCATCGGAAAGGCCCCACACTCCCATGCACCTCTGAACCATTGTCCCTACTTCATCAGAAAGCAGAGGTGTTGTTCACACGGCCAGGAGAGTTTGTTTTAGATTTGGGAGTCTCTATTTTTAGAAGAAGGCTAAAAACTTCGCAATGCTGCAAATAAATATGATACTCGCCAAAAGTACAAATTATCCGAACACCATGCCTATCTTTGAATGTTTGAAACTGTAAAACGCAAAGATGTCTCCTGTACTATTTTATGCATGAACCTTCTCTCTCTAATTCAGCAATAACACATGGGAATTTCTGTCTTAACAGCGTGAAACCCTCGGTTACCACATTCATCTTGAAATTTTCTCTTCGACCAAGATGTCAATACACCTTCTGTTTATCTTTTTTTTTGCGGGGGAATGTACCTTTTCTATTAACTCTAGACATTTGTACATTTTAGCACAAGCCAAAATATACTGCATCTACCAACACAACGTCACATAACATTTTGACACACATACATTTCAGCCAGTCTGGTGCAAACAAATCTGCGGCAGCAAAGGGGATCAGAAGCATTCAACTACGGAGTCTTCAAGTTGTTCATCTCTAGGCAAGGCATTATTGTATATAAAATAAAACATAAGTGTAAAAGTTGTGGGTGTGACGTATAATGTATTTGCCTCAACCATGGAGGAAGAAGCTCAGCTTTGGAGACTGGTGAGTGAGCCGCATGCATTGCTCGGTGCGCTAAGAACATTTGTACATTGATGATGAATGACACATCAGTGGCTGATCTAGCAGGTAGCAGAGATGTATCTCACAGTCAAACTGCGGCAAGGGAATAATGCTATCAGATAGGCCCAGGATGGTGCATATGAAGGTAGTTTTCTCTCTCCACAAACGTATCCCCTCTTCGCAAACTCGTCACATCCCCAATCACCGCTCTAATCACCTTTGATGAAGCAGTACTCGAGTAGATCCCAGTTGAAACAACCCTTTGTAATAACAATACATGAAAGGGTAGTGCAATTTAAACCTCTATCCACAAATGGTCGACAAACTTCTACAGAATGTTTGCCATTTAAAACATATGGTTTTTTTTAGTGCCAACGAAATTTTTTGCAACCCTATTACCTCACTCTAATGAGCTCAGGGAATCATCTATGATGACAGTTTACAATTATATAAAATTACTTTTTTAATAGTGAAAATAATAATATGATGAAAAACATGTCAAAAGGAAAATGGTCACAAAATGACACCATTTAGTTGTGTTGAACTAAAAAAATATGTCAACATATAATGATAATGCTTATGGAGAGGATAGCATTATTCTCAAGGCTAGGCATGTGATTCATGTTTGACCGATGCTAGGCGTCAATCGAGCGATGTGAGACATTGACCGGCAGCCTACAAAGTCATCAATTCGCAGCATGTGTATGCTAGAATGAGATGCGACTGGGTCATCCCTCTCACCCAACCATCCCTGTGACACCGCGAAAAACATACCCCGGCATCTTCCCCACACGGCGTGCCTCCATGGCTCACAAGCAAAAGAGCATGTCACCGGCATCACTCCTCCGTCGGTGCTTGCATTGCTCCATAGTGATCCATCGCCGCTGCCTACCGTCACAAGACAACAGCATTATGTAGGTTGTGTCATGTCTTTGTGATTCCTTTCTCAGTAATAAGGCCTTGCAAATGTTGCCCACGCGGGTGGCGCCTTTGGACTAGTTTGCGCATCCGGCTGCAAAGGTCTTCACTTGGCTTCTCTTAATCAAAGGGTGTAAAGGTCTTCACTTGGCTTCTCTTAATCAAAGGGGGTCTCTGGGAACCATACCAATGCTCCTGGTGTCTATCATCAGAAATAATCATATATGGTCTTATTTTGATATGGCTCGTGCTCGCGGATAGTCCTGCTCTTCTTACTTCGCTCGCTAATACGCACATTGATGTTGTCCGTATCGATACTCCTGTTCAGCGGTCGACGCTTAGCAGCGTTTGATCCCTGACCATGAGCACTAGCAGCCTGTGCAGCAGGGAAGTGGGGCTGGTGGCGCGCCATGTACTGCTGCTGTGGGAAGTATGGCTGATGGTGCGCCATGGCCATGTACTGCTGCTCCTGGAGCACATGGTCAATGCCCGTCGGGGGCTGCCTCGTCACATCAGGGAGGAATTCTCGCCTGAAATCAGGGGAGAATTCTCGCCTGAAGTACGGCGAGTACGGCCGCTGCACCATCAGGGGCTGCCTCGTCACATCAGGGAGGAATTCTTGCCTGAAATCAGGGGAGAATTCTCGCCTGAAATCAGGGGAGAATTCTTGCCTGAAGTACGGCTGCTGCACCATGGGAGGAATATTGTAGTACGGCTGCTGGACCACCGGAGGAATATTGTAGTACGGCTGGTGGACCATGGGAGGAATATTGTAGTTATTCATGGCCACCACCGCCATGGCAGGAAACTCCTGCTGCTGGTACGGCATGAATGGTTGTTGTCGCTGGAGCATGGGAAGATTCAGCTGGCTATGCACATCAGGCGGGGACGCCGTGTATGGCTGCCGAAGTATAGGGCTGCCGGCGTGCCGGGCGTAGTGAGCCCGCACCGGAACAGGAAACTCTTGATCACGAGTTCCTCCGGCCTGGCGCCATGGCGCCCCCGCAAAGCCCATGCCTGCGTCCTCCACTCTATCATCCTCTTGAGCAGGAGAGGCGTCTTCCTCCTCCCTAACCATCTCCTCGTCCTCCTGGATGGACTCGCCGTGGGTTGCGGACACGAGGACGCAAGGGTCGGGCTGCTCGCCGATGGGGGTTGCGGTGGGGGACACGGGGACGCCGGGGTGGGGCTGCTCGTCGTCGGGGGCCGCGGGTGCGGACACGGGGACGCCGGAGTGTGGCTGCTGCTGCTGCTGCTGCATCTGGCGGAAGCGGAGGGCGAGGGAGGCGTGGAGGGAGGAGACATGGGCGTCGATGTCGTCCCAGGTGAAGGGGAGATGGTAATGGGGCGGCGCGCAGGCGACGAGGCGGTCGAAGGTCTCCCGCAGGCGCTGCTTCCTGACGGGGAGCGCCGCGATGGCGGCCTCCAGGTCAGCCGTCGCCATCGGCGCCGCCGGCGGGGCGCGACCAGTCCGCGACGACACGGCCGACATAGGATGGGGAACACACGAAGCCGAAGCCGAACGAATTAAGGAAGACGGGGGAAGCAGCTTCGGGACGCCGACGCGGAGTTGTTGAGGAAGGCGAGGGGAGCAGCCGGGGTGCAGCGCCGGCGACGAATCGCCGGCGGTGGGGAAGGCCGAGGCCAAGGGGGCGACAGGAGGCGATTTCTCCGGCGTGGGGGCTCAGGGGAGGAAGACGGAGGTCGAGGGCATGCCGGCGGGGATCGGGAAGGTG